AGGGCAGGGGGCCGCTGTGGGGCAGGGGAAGGGGGAGGCATCGCTCAGCTCTGACCCCAGTTCCCCAGGATGGCCATAGAGATTGGTGTGTTGCTGGAGGTTCCCGTAACTCAAATGAGACATAGACGTTCATGCCTGCTCTCTGCTCTTTGCTCCAGAGCCCGGGTGTGCTGAACTCCGGTGTCCTGGCCAGGGCCTAATTCGGATCATTCCATTTTGCTTCCCTAAATTCAGTTGTCCAGGGAAGAGGGTACAGGACCTTGGGCCACTTCCTGTCCCATAGTGGGGCGTGGCTGTGTGGCCGGCCCACAGTGGCCACATCCCACCCCAGAGACCACCGCAATCCCTGCAGCAGGTGAAGTCAGCACTCTGCTTAGTTCTCCCAAAAGGAGGAGACATGATCTTCACATTAGTCACGCGGAGGGGCCCACATTGGGGAAGAGGGGCTGCGGGGCAAACGGGCAGTAAGAGCTTGTTTGGGTCTTTCTTTCAGCTTTAGCAGGCATTTAAAGTGGCTTCTGTACAACAAGCCGGTGCCTTCCTTAATCCAAGAGGGACCTCAGTGAGTATTGCAACCACGGGCAAAGGAAGAGGGGAGGGGTTTGGGGTCCCAGTCCTATGGAGCCACAGCTTCCCCGGCTGGCATTTACTCCCTCCCCAAAAGTTGCCAAGAGCTGTTCTGTGAGCATGGCAGGGCGAGGAGCATAGGCCTGGCCAGTCTGAGCTGGCAGGGAGCTGGCTGCTGTTACACACCAGTTGTGTTACGTCAGCGCCTAGGACTCCCAGCCACGGACTAGGCCCCTGTTGGGCTGGGTCCTGGACAAACATCCTAAAAGACCGTCCTTGCCCCAGAGCCGTGCAATCTCGGGCTAAGATAGAGCCAGTCCGTGGAGACAGACAGAGCACGGAGAGATGGGAGACCAGGAGACCATGCCAGTGTAGTGGCCAGGGGTCTCCGCACAGCGGCGGTCTAATCTCCGTGAGGTGTCTTGGAGGTGTCCCAGCAAAGGAGAATTTCCCAGAGCGCTGCTCAGGAGGAAGAGGAGGGAGCCGTGTGGATATTTACGGGGAGCTCCGCTCCAGCAGTGGGCGAGAGTTCAAAGGGCTGGGGAAGCATGACTCGCTGTGTCAGAGGGAAAAGGAGCATGAGGAGGTAGCACAAGGTCTGACGAGTTGATCTAAACGTAACGTCCCACTCGGGGGCAGTCCTTAGAACTGTCTGGCCTCTTCCACCTTGAGCAAGCATCCCCAGACAAAGCGGCTGCTCCCCCTAGCCCCCGCTTGGGGGGGCGAGTGGCAGCCTCCGTGAGTTGTACCTCGCACCTTGGAGAGGAGGAACGACGCCAGGAGCTGGTGTCTGTGGCCAGATGCTCCCATTAGATCATATCATAGCCCCAAGGGGAAGTGAGAAATGTGGGGAGGCCGGGAACGGGAGGGAGAGGAGGCCAAAGGACACGGTGACCCAGGGAAGCGTTCCAGGGTGGACTGTGCTGCAGATAATTACCTGTCTTTGAATCCAACTGTGCTCCAAGCAATGTCTCTTCTCCCCCTCCTCCTCCAGGTGCGGGCTGGTGGCACTGTGGATGGCAGGCTCCCTCCTCGGTCTGTCCCAGGACATCTCCCTGGAGAGGATCCTGCGGGTAGCGTTGGAGAGAGGCTACACCGCCCAAGGGGAAATGTTCTCAGGTCAGTGGTCACAATCGCCCATGGCAGGCGCTTTGCACTGGGCTGGGCACTGGAGGGACTCTCCAAAGCCCGTTCCAGGCTGCGACTGGGTGAGGAAGTCCAGTCCCCAGAGGGGCCCGTCACCGGTATGTGAGAGAGGGCCCCAGGGAGCCATGGGAGCTCTGCTCTCGCCATGCTGAAATTCAGACGTTGCTGGGAGCTGGCCGCCTTCCCGGAAGGGCTGCTTTGGGCTCGGTGGAGGGAAGCTGGGGCCCGCGTAACAGCCTGTGCTGGACCGGAGGTCAGATCCGATGAGCTAATTGTCCTTTACTCTGAGCCCTGCCTTCTGCCTGGCTGCGGCTCCCGGCTCTGGCCCTCCAGTGAGGTTCGTTTGCTTGGAAACTTGCAAGCGCCTTGGTTGGGAAAATCCCCACGGCCGGGCTGCTAATTTCCCGGCCGAGGCAGAAGGCCCCTCTGGGAGCCGCGTCTGGCTAACACCGGCCTCGGGCAGAGATCGTGAGACTCTCCTACGCCCTCAGGGCTGGGGACTCCCCTTTGGCGCTTTTCGGGCCCTCACTGTCCAGCCTGCCTGGACACTTCTGCTTTCTTTGAAAGCACAAGATCCCTTGGAATCCCGGGGCTGCAGGAGGTGGGGCTTTGTCGGGAAAAACACCGGCTCTCCTTGGCAAGGCTCCCGCATGCAGGCCCCAGCCTGGATGAAGGCCCCAGTGCCGGGTAACAGTGTGGTACGTCCTCTCTGATTCTCGCAGGGACTGGTGGGATCAGCTGGCTCCAGCTCCTGTAGAACAGGGGCCACAGGCCTGCCCTGAATTTGCTCCTGGGTGAATTAAGCTGATCTTTCCAAACGCCAGCCTGTCTGGGTCTAAACGGCTCCAGCGACAGACCCCACCGCAACCCTGCCAGTCGCAAATTCCCCTCCCCATTATAGATCTCTGCCCGCTTCCTGTCTGAATTGGTTTAGCTTCACCTCCCAGCCCGGGCTTGTGTTTGATCTTTGTCACCGGCCCTTGGAGATCAAATTGCCATTGCCCGTGTCAGATCACATCCCCCGCGGTGGGTTTCCCTGGCGTGCCGTTGGGGCGCTGCTTAGGGGAGCAGAAAGCCGGGGGTAGCAGCTAGGGGTGGGCCCAGGGGTGGCCCTAGACTAGCTGCCAGCAGCTGGCGCCCTAGGCAACCCATGCAATCGGCACCTCCACCTCCAAACTCCTCAATGATATTGCGCCACCATTTGGCGCCCTAGGCGACCGCCTACTTCGCCTATATGGACGGGCCGCTCCTGGGTGGGCCCGAGGGCAGCTTGAATTCCTGTCCCTGCCTCTCCCAGCGGCTGACATGGCCCAGCTGGCCGAGGAGGTGTTCCCGTGCCGGGCAGAGCTGCTCTCAGGAGGCCTGGAGGGAGAGAACCAGGAAAGGATCCTTCGCCATCTGACTGCTGGCTGCCCCCTTCTGCTGCCGTATCCTTCCCTTGAGAAGGGCGGGTGTGTCCCCGGCGATGCCCCATCTGTGCTGGTATCCGAACCGCAGCTTGCACGGGTGGGTGGGACTGGTGGGGTTCAAATCCCCCCGGAGAGCAGGCCTGGTGGTGTCCCTTTAAAGGCAGATGCAGCTGCTTCTGGGGTGGGACGTGGCCACCATGTCGTTCGTCTCCTCTTCCTGGCTGTGGGGGCGGGGAGGTTGAACGGGGAGCAAGTGCGTTTCGCTCTCCTGGCTGTTAAATACACCCCCCTGCCCACCCCGCCCCCTTCTCCTGCCTGCACCCTGCCCGTTGGGGGCAGGTTCTGACAACAGCAGATTTCGGTTCCCTTGGCAAACCTTAACAGCCGTCCCAGCTACGACGAGGACTCCAACCACGAGCCCTGCCGGAGGCGCGGCTTCAAAGCCCACTGGGCCGTGGTCTCAGGTAGGGCCCAGCCCCCGGGGGACGCCTGGCCCCTGCGGGAACAGCCCCTGGACTCTGGTGTGCAGGGCCCAGCCCCCTCACTCCCGGGCTGCTCTCGGGGTTGTGAGCTTGTCCCGATGCCACCCCAGCTGCCTCCCTGGAAGAGCCTGGTGCCCCCTGTTTCTGGGCTGGGGCTGCCCAGCCGCTGGGGGAAAAGACCAGCTCCTAGGGGAGCTTCCTGGGTGCAGGGAGAACGAAGCCACGCAGGTGAGTTGGCCTGGCTACACATCCAAGGCTCACCACCAGGGGGCGGCTGGTGGCCGGGCATGGGGCCAGCCCGCAGAGTTCACAGGGGGCCTGACTTGGATGCTGCCTGCCCCCGCGACCCCTAAGTGTGCCCAGCCGCTGGGGGAAAAGACCAGCTCCTAGGGGAGCTTCCTGGGTGCAGGGAGAACGAAGCCACGCAGGTGAGTTGGCCTGGCTACACATCCAAGGCTCACCACCAGGGGGCGGCTGGTGGCCGGGCATGGGGCCAGCCCGCAGAGTTCACAGGGGGCCTGACTTGGATGCTGCCTGCCCCCGCGACCCCTAAGTGTCCCAGATGCCCCCGCGACCCCTAAGTGTCCCAGATCCCCGTGGGGGGCTGCAGCACCAGGAAACGGCAGTTACTTGCGGCTGGCTGCTCCGACAGGCCACCCACGTCTGGGTTCCCAGCATGAAACTGACAAGTTCCTCTCCCCCGTCAGGAGTCCTGCTGGGCCTCCAGGCCAGCGCCCTCTGCCCAGCCTGCCAGGAGGACGGGGAGATCTCCGGCCTCTTCCACCCCGGCCCAGCCTCCCCCCCGCCCAGCCCGGAGCACGTGGCGGAGATCTACCTGCTCGCCAAGCAGGGCAAGAGCTGGCGCCCCCAGCTGTGGCGCTACCAGCAGGCGCACGAGAGCAACGCCCAGCTGACGGACTTCTGCGTGGTGCCCGCTGGCGGCGTGAGAGCCGGGCTCTGCGGCAGGACCGTGCTGCTGTACCCCAGCACCACAGAGAGCCCCCCGGCCCAGCTCCCCCCTGCGGCGGGGCACTAGGAGCACTGGGCAAGGAATGCTACAAACGCCCTGGGGCCTGCCCATGCCATGACGGGCAGCGGGGCCTAGTGGGTGGAGCCCTGAACTGGGCTTGGGGCCTGGCTCTGCCTCTGTTTCCCCTCTGCAAAATGGGCCTCGAGCTGGGCATGGGGAGGGGCAGGAGGTACAATATTCAGCCCCACTGAGGAGAGGGTCACTGGTTTAAAGTGCTGGATGTGGCCTCTTCCTCCTGTGCCACAGGAAGTGCTGCGCCGTGGGAGAGGGACGGCTATTTTCGGTCCTTCCTGGAGGAACTGCCCCTCTCCCACTCAGTGACACATTTTCAGATGTCCCAGATTCCCCGGTGCGGGGCTGCAGCGCCAGGAAACGGGGGCCCTGATCTCGGCCGGGGTCTGGGGGGGTGCCCGGCCCGACGGGCCCTGATCTCGGCCGGGGTCTGGGGGGGTGCCCGGCCCGACGGGCCCTGATCTCGGCCGGGGTCTGGGGGGGTGCCCGGCCCGACGGGCCCTGATCTCGGCCGGGGTCTGGGGGGGTGCCCGGCCCGACGGGCCCTGATCTCGGCCGGGGTCTGGGGGGGTGCCCGGCCCGACGGGCCCTGATCTCGGCCGGGGTCTGGGGGGGTGCCCGGCCCGACGGGCCCTGATCTCGGCCGGGGTCTGGGGGGGTGCCCGGCCCGACGGGCCCTGATCTCGGCCGGGGTCTGGGGGGGTGCCCGGCCCGACGGGCCCTGATCTCGGCCGGGGTCTGGGGGGGTGCCCGGCCCGACGGGCCCTGATCTCGGCCGGGGTCTGGGGGGGTGCCCGGCCCGACGGGCCCTGATCTCGGCCGGGGTCTGGGGGGGTGCCCGGCCCGACGGGCCCTGATCTCGGCCGGGGTCTGGGGGGGTGCCCGGCCCGACGGGCCCTGATCTCGGCCGGGGTCTGGGGGGGTGCCCGGCCCGACGGGCCCTGATCTCGGCCGGGGTCTGGGGGGGTGCCCGGCCCGACGGGCCCTGATCTCGGCCGGGGTCTGGGGGGGTGCCCGGCCCGACGGGCCCTGATCTCGGCCGGGGTCTGGGGGCTCCCGGCCCTACAGTCTCAGCTCTCTACAGCTGCTGTCATCCCCCTAACTCGGGAACTTTAACCACATCCAGCACACGCGCAATAAAGACAAAGGCTGTTTGCTTTCTACCATGGGCAGGGTCTGTTTATTGTGACAGGCTCCTGCCCCAGAGCCTTTGCCGTGGTCCCTTGGCCCAGCACCCCTTCCCCTCTGTGGGGGGGGGGGAGAGCCCCAGGGCAAG